AAATATAATAATTTTTGTGTACTAAGAAATTTATTTTGATGTTTAAAAATAATGATTTGTTCAACTAAAACATCAAAATGTTATTTTATGCAATATTTTATAATTTGGTTAAACTCTGAAAATGTGAATTTTTACTCAATACAATTTTTGTTTCTACCATTGTGACATTTTGTTATTTTCTGAATTAAGCTTTATTATACTTTATTTATTTCAATGCATTGAAAATAAATATGAATATGTGATTGAAATTACTGTTATAGTATTGTGATAAAAATGTATGTGAAAAAGATAAGTAAATACTTGTTGCCCATTAGTTGGAGACTGATTGATCTATACAAGATGGTGGGCTGATAAGCTTTCCTTTAAATACTATAGTTTGATATTATCATTTGTTAATTCATGTGATACACTGATTGAGAGTTATAAAGAGATGATTATTGTGCTAACGGGTAAAGAGTGATGATTTTGTTTATTGAGCCAACGATTTACTGATACTTATATAATACTGAAAAAATACCGTGATAATAAGAACTTCATACATGTTTATTGTGACTATTGAAATGCATATTTTTGAGGTATTGCTCTTACTATTACACAGATTTATTGTTGATACATAGATTTACTGTTATTGCATTATTTTACTGCTCCTACCACTAAATTATTATTGTTACTGATTTAGATACTGATACTAAGTATGTAATATACTAAGCATATGATATAGAATATCTGGATAGTATGAGTACACTTTTATATAACTTTATTATATTTACATGATTTTGATAGTCTTTATCAATATTTTTATTTGATTATTTATACTATTTTGTACTAATTGGTATTACAGATATGACGATTGCTTTATATATTTTAGACTCATACTAGTTTTCTATTTTATTGGATTCCATATCATAATATTTTACTATTATAGATTCTACTATTATTACATTTGAAATTTACTATTTTTGTATTGATTCAATAATCGTATGAATGTTACTGTTATGATTTGACTATTGACAAGCATATTACTTCTTTATCATACTTTGAATTCAATTGTAGGTTCTAGTTGCTTGCTAGCTTGTGAGCTTATTATATGTGTTTAAATGATTTCAAGTCAATGTAATGATCAGTAGTGTAAGGTTGGTCAGGATTCCTTTAAGTTCAAGTTCTTTTTTTTTTGTTATTATTTTATACTTAAGACATGATGGATATGCAATATGATTGTGTAAATCCCGAGTAGTATATATATTTTTTAGAAAAATGAATTATATAATCTATTTTTGTTGTATATTACTGATAGATGATATTAGAGAGCTATAGTTATTATTTATTAAAAGATTGAAATAATAATTCTTTCAATTTAGATTATGGGATATCATAGAAGTTGTATTCACAAATCATTATAAATAACAATTTCAATAATAACATTAATATTATATTTCATTTCAAATAAAAATGTAACAATATTCTTTTCAAGTAAGAATTTTCACAAAAAAATTTAAATAAAGTATTTACAAGGTAATTATCCAACACAACAACTTGTTAAGATAGGAAAAAAAATATTAAAATTAAATTCAAAATCAAAACACTAATTTCAAGAACCATAATGATCATCTTTTCTGTCATATAAAAATGATAATATAAACGGTAGTCCTCATCTTCATAAACTATTTATATTTATCTATAGAGACACTTGAAGAAACCTAACTTGATCTAAAAAATCCTTATTCGCTTTATCTTGATCGACCTCCAAGTGATATTCTAAATGAAAATGTACTTATTTTTTAGTCCTTTAATATATAAACTTTGCAGAAAAAAAAAAAAGATTGTTACCTCAAATCTTTTAATATTGAACATATGATTGAAAAATGTGCAATTAGAAGAAAAAAGACTTGAATAAACTATAGAGTCCTTGAATTTATCGCACAACAAGGTTGAAGCTTCTCCTAACACAAAGCAGGACATTATCTTGAGTGAAATATCTCAGTGGGAGTTTGGCATTTTGGATAATACTGAAGGGTAAACTCCATACCTATTGCAAATAAACTCATTTAGGAAATCTCAATAAATTTCCTCATCATGTTGAATTCAATCTTTAGCTTGTTAACCTCTCAATGACTTTCGTGGGAAATTTTTTCGTGAAAATTAGTAGGGCAAGTGATATAATATATAAGTTTAGCTTCAACATCATTCAACCATAACCATTAATCTTGTGTGCATGTTTCAAACCAATTCATTCATATATTCAATGATCTCATCTTCTCATCCACATGCCTTACTTCTAGCAAACTTAATATTTTTTATAGTGATACAATCCCTATAAGTAGCTCATTAACCTTTCTTGATGAGATCATCAATTACAAGTAAAGTTATGTCCGACTCACTACCATTGCCATACTTTCATTGGCTTAGCCAATTTCCTCAACAACTTAAGTTTCCATTGACAATGATTTTTTGTAAATGAATTACTCATAGCTTGTGATTCCAACTTCATTTATGGCTTCAATAGAGGCCTTTTTCAAAGCTAACTTCTCAACACTTCTAACCCGACCAATCTAGTTGAGTGATTGTGAGAAGACCCTCCTCATTCACCCATGAAGTTCCTCTCTATAGGTGTTTGGAGGTTGGTGATCAAATTAGAGACGAGCTCCATGCTATGAGTATCAAATGACATTCACATGAAAACCTAATTCATTTTTGATATGAAAGAAGACACAAGAGTGTTAAATTCATTGTTAATTATTGCCTTTAAAGGTTTTTTTATTTTATTATTATTATTATTATTTTATTATTGTCGTTAAAGGTGTATCAGTCTTCACCTCTATAATAAAATTGTCTAGAATATCTTCAACAAGCACTGTTAGTGTAATCCCATCTTTTTAACAACTACTTACATTCACACAATAACATTCTCTCTTCATCTGAGTGCTTCTCAACATCACCCTCTTCAAGTTTAGAGGTTTCCTCAATAGACACATTACTTGTTGGAGGGCCTTGCTCTCGACCACCTTATAGTCCTTTAAGTGACTCAATCATCAATTTCATTAATAAAGAAAACTTAGAAGATGCACTATACATATAATAAAACTGGCAAGATGATCCTTTTCCTCATTTTGCAAGAATCTTAAGGCTCATAAACATCTAAAATCATAGAACAATAATTAAAAAGGCAATAAAAATTTTTCAAAAGCAACCTTGAGTCATGAATTTATACGTTTTGGATGCTGACGTGTTTGTCACTTGTCAAAAATCTAAGCATCTTACAAATCCATTATTCCAAATCACCCGAGTCAAATTGAATTATTTCGGGGTTCATTGTCTCATTCTTATCAACTCCATTTTAAAAAAATATAAATTACAAACTAATGTACACTCACGAGGCTTAAATTGAGTTTAGAAATTAGATATTAATTAACTTAGAAATCTTTCATCAATATTTGCAATGCTTGAACTCAATTGAACCCCCTTGAAGTTTTAAGTTGCACAGACCTAAAAATCGTTAAGTTACTTAGGATACAGACCCTACTCAATCCACAATACTCAACTATTGAACTTGACCTACATACTCATGAAGATGCCTACTCGGCAAGCTTACGAGCCAATAAAAGTTTGCCACTTATTCAAAAGTACTTTTTGACGAGTATAGATTCTTCCTAAGAGAAACCATTTGATTGAAGTTTCCATTTAATGAACAACCACTAAGCAAGTTTGTCCTTTATCATATAACTCATCCTACACCGTAGATCTTAACCCTTACCTATAACTAAAGAGTAATTGATCAAATGTGGGAATAATATAACCTATACTTTGACAAAAAAATTATTAAATTAAATCCAATTTAGATTCTCTATTATATGGCTCCTTTCTCCCAATAAAACTTGAATCTAGCAAAATTATATATATATATATATATATATATATATATAATTATAATAATAACAAAATGACATATACACAAAAATTTATTTTTTCATAAAATGTAAGAATATACCAAGGTTATTAATACCGGATTGGATTTGCCGGTTCAACTGATTGAACTAGAAAACCATAATCACATGAAATCGCTTTACAACTAGACAAATCGGCATGCGAAACCGGCGTCGATTTTCCAAAATTGTCTGCTTTAAAAGTGCAGAATCTCGGCCGTTATTTTTTGATCAAACAGTTTAGATGAAAAAACAAAAACCCTAAAATCACTCCTATTCGGCTATTCCCAATCCCGTTTGCCGCAACCCTCTTCATTCTTTCCTCTATGTTCAAACATGAAGCTCCCATTCGATCACTCTAAATCTATAAAGTGTTGTATAAGTTGTTTTATTTGTCTATTTGATTCTTCATTGATGATCAAAATTATATAATAGGTTGTTTTTTCCTTTTTTTAGCTTTATGAATTGCTTCTATACATCAAATTGAGGCATGCATTGCTCCCTCAATACAATGTAATAATAACAAATTAGCTGATTCAGCCATCCTGTGCAGGAACCAAGAGCCGCGGAATGGTAGGAGCACCTCGTGAGGAGACTTGGAGCTGCAAGGTGTGTTGTTTGATTTTGTTGCTTTAATAGATTTTAAGTTGCTAAGATTAATCTTTGTATTTACTGAAATCAAATGCTAGTTTGCTGAAATTGATATTCATATTTGATGAATGTGGAATTTGTATGTGATGATATTGCATTTGTATCATACTATGCTAATTTTTTATTATTTAATAATATTATTATTTATTACCCGTCGAACCTGAGCCTCTCCTTATTCTAGTTCGTTGTTTAACCCGATTTTCACCATCTTGAAATGTACTGCATAAATATATTTATTATGCATTTATACTTTTAAAATTTAAAACACAAAAAGTGTATTTAATCATATGTTGAAAAAAATTATGCAAATTTACTAATAAAGACCCTGAAAGAAAAAAACTCATCAATAATTTGACTAGATAAAAAGAAAAAAACTAAGTTATTTCAGCTAGTCCCTCTGCATCTCCAAACAAAACAGAAGAGGTCTCACCTAGCTCAATTTCTCCAGCTTATTCCCTTATAAAAAGGCAATCATGAGCAAAAACATATAAATTCGGCATTATTTATCCATCTACACAGTACCAACCATACAAAGAGAATCATAACAGTGACAGAGACTGATAGTCTAACATCTACTACCCATAACTCTATATATCACTTTTACTCAAAGATAAACTCTAGAAATAAAATAAACACAAGAGCGAGGCGAGTGCGGTAATCATAGGGGTCCCTATTCTTCATTGGCAACAACTTCAACAGAGGATGACATTCACAGGGCCTTCTGCTGCTCAAAAATCAATGGGCTCCGTTCGATCCTGCAACGCAAGGCGCTCTGATACGTCCGCAAGAGACTTGAGGTTGCATTTGATCAGGGCCTCCACGAAGAAGCATGTATCGTCCTTTGTGTTCCCGTTGGGCACGTCAACAACAAAGGATTCGATCACCAGAGTTCCCGGCCTTCCATCGATGCTCTCGGGATGGACTGTTATGACTGAGGAATAGTTCTGAGGCAAATAAACATTAAGATTGAGTCCTATTTGGCTTCCCATCGCTAGACCCTTGAATTCTTCCAAGAATTTCGCTAACCAGTTGAGTAAACGATCAATGGAAAGATCAGAGGAAATAATATCTAAAAGCATGATTAGAATTCTTCTCTTTTTTCTCTTTACTTCATGCCAAGTGATAAAATTTCATTATATTACCAATGATTATATGAAAAATTCTACGCATAATTCATGTTTTCAAACAAATTCCATCTAAAAATCATGAAAATCTTAAGATTCTGCACCATCTATATGCAGTTCAATAGAAAGTCCAATTCAGAGATGCATGAATATGACGATGAATTAATCTGTGCGGACGTCAAACGCCATCCAGAGCCCAATGAAAATGCATCACGTCATCCTACTCGGTACCGCGGCTCGGTAGTGAATGACGTGGCTGCACCGGATTCGACTCGGGATGGTAAGCTGTGTTTGGTGCCCGCACAGAATAATCTCTCGAATATGACACCCTGTGGGCAACTCCCCCAAAATGTAATAAACAAAGGATAAAATCTGTGAATTCATGGGGAAAATATCCATAACAGGAAAACAATTCTTTTTATCAATAATTGAACATCATTCTAGCTGGATTTCATCGTATCTTAAATCAGAAGCATGTGCAACCCAGTCTAGAGAGAATCAATGCGTCAATGCTCAAGGAACTTTTGGTTCTATTCAATATTGGAAACAGTAGAGCCGAGTACGACACGCATTCATAAATATAGTATTAAATAAAACAAAATAAAAAAGGAACACTATAAAGATTAAACATGCATCATGGGAACCAGCATAACGATACAAATAAGCCAAATCATGCTTGATCAAGAGTGCTATTGGTCCAAAAATCATAAATTCCAACAAATATAATCATTTGAATTTTAAACATAAAGTAAATGAATTATAGTTTTTCAAAAGATTTATTGCAAACATTAAATAAGTCAAGCAGACAGTAAATGGATCCCATGACAGATTATTACGTGCGGAGTCTGGATGTAATTTTTCGTTCGGACTCCAATTACATAAAGAAATTTGGATTTTTCTCTCTTGCATACACCTTGTGTGTGTACAAAGAGAAATTATTCTTTTCGGAGTCCAGACGAGAAGAACAGTCCGGATTGTGAGTACACAGTGTATACAAAAATTTTATACACATTGTGCACAAATGTGATACACGGTTTGTACATTTATATGTCCGGACAATTCTTCCAATATGGACTCCGCACAAAACAATTTCTCGTGTACAAGATAAAAAAAATCCAGATATATTTAATTGATTAGACTCCGAACAACATTTGGACTCCGCAGGTAGTAATTTTTCCCATTCTGAGCAATTGATGGCAAACGAGGGAAGATGGGATTCCGTGAATTAAATCAGAAGCAGCAAAACGAAAAAAAAGAAAAAAGAAAAAGGCAAGCGCATATATTTGAGCGATCGATGATGAAATTAATGAAAACCAAAAAGATTTTGCTGTGATCTTTCAATTTGGTGGTATTGCTTTAAATGGAATTAGGCCTTAATTTTATAAATATGCAGCATTTTGATGTTACTTATGAAATTGCCCAACAAAAAAGGGGGATTTACATACATATCAAGAAAACCTTGTATATTTACATATCCATAAACGGCAAAGCAATCAATTTGGGGGAGAAATATAGCTCAATCTATATTAAGGAACACAAAATATTTTTTCTTGAATTGAAAAATATTTTTTTTTCTGCAGATAATATTTAAATAATACATTTAGAAACATAAACTAGATGAACAATTTATCATAATAATTTTGATAATTATCTTGACAGAAGAAGCCTCGAAAATATCATCAAAATATCTTGCAATTCAAAAATTAAACTTTAACTGGAATATCCTCATCCGATCGTTTGCCTAATGAGATTCCTTAAGCAATCATCAATGGTAAAAACATTAAAAACTAGCAGAAGAAGCAATTGAAGGACAGAAGAGAAAAATCAATTAGCAGATATTGATGCTATGTCGTTGGATGATGATCGAATGAAGAAATGAAAGAGTTCTGTATATCAAAGGCTTTGATTATACCTTCAGGCGATGATCACCTCCGACAATCTTGACGCCGAGAATGTGTTCGTCATCGTCAAGAAGCTCCAGTCTCTCTGTGCTGGTGGTCGCCGGTAGGCCAGACTTCACATTAACTTCCCGAACACTTCCAACCTCGAAATCTCCTAGAACCACGCATTTACTCACAAAGGGCTTGTACTTCTGCGGCTGATCAAATCGCCTTACCAGAGACCACACCTTCAGCATGGCACCATAAGAAAATATGAGCTCAAGAAGCTTAATAAATTAAAGAAAAAACCCTCACACCCAATCGGCCAATCTTATCGCTATATCTTCAAACGCGTTTCGGAAAAAAGGATGAAAAAAAAAAAAAAACAAAAAAATCTCTCAAGAAGAGCAAACTAATCGCAAAACCATAACAACTCTACCTCTCTGAGGTTTTTCAAATCAAATAACTGAAAAAGAAGAAAAACCCTTACACGTGTAGATCTAACAAGATCAGGCGATGACATAAGTTGCATAAACAAGCTAGAGAGAGTTCACTTCTTCTAACACAAATAAAAAAGAAAAAAAAGACAATCCGAATCGCAGATGAAGCAGAAGGAAAAGAGAGGGAGAGCAAAGGATCGGTTTCTCACGAGATGAACAGGGGCCTTGACATGCTTGATGAGAGTGGAGCTGCACTGGTTCTCCCTCGGCTCATGCTTGTGATGCTTTCTAACGTACTCGGATTCCATCGTCGACCAACAACAGTTCATATAGTCCCGTTCAACACCCAACGCAACTCCTCGACCGCCGGCCTCCGGATCTCCGCCTCTCTCTCTCTCTCTCTCTTGTCCCGCTCTTTCCTGCAATCCAATTCTTCCCGGCGAAACAGACCCGCGAGCACTGTTCCCAGTTCCCAATCCCCCTATCCTCTCTCTTCTCTCGCTTAGAAGAAACTCCTCTGCCTCCCAGTGGTCAGACCCTCACCTATGATTCTTCTCGACTCCACCGTCCATCATCATCCGGAAAGAAAAATAACTAAATAAAAACTTTCCTGGCGATAAAATCCACCAACCGGAAGGCCACTTCCCATTCCGCCAAATCACCCGTACAATCACTCTATGCGGAGCATCAAATTGACCGTTGGATCAAAGGACCGTCGATCCCAACAACCTTTTCTCGCTCTGCTATAAATTAATCGTATATTTACTTTTGCTTTTAACTTTATGTTAGTGTCTTGAGGATGCAATCAAATAAAATTCAGTAGAGAAAAACATTAATTTAAATTAAATTAATTAATTTAAAAATTATCCATATTTAGCTTGAACTCAAATTGAGTTTTCACTCGATCCCAACAACCTTTTCTCGCTCTGCTATAAATTAATCGTATATTTACTTTTGCTTTTAACTTTATGTTAGTGTCTTGAGGATGCAATCAAATAAAATTCAGTAGAGAAAAACATTAATTTAAATTAAATTAATTAATTTAAAAATTATCCATATTTAGCTTGAACTCAAATTGAGTTTTCACACACATACACATACATACATACATACATATATATATATATATATA